AGAAAATGGGAGTGGGGGCAGTTTTTAGGAACTGGGTGAGAGTCGTGTACGCGGGCGCAAAGGAGAGAGTCCAAGTCAACGGCCACCTATCAGATTCGTACAGAATGACGAGATCGGTAAGGCAAGGAGATCCATTAACTGCTCCGATATTTCTCTTCGTCATGGAAGCAATAGCTACCTTCTTGCGGAAGGACCCCTCAATAGGAAGATTACAGACCCTCGATGATGGACGAAATGGGCGGATCCAGCTTCCGACAGTGATGCTATTCGCGGAAGACCTAACAGTCCTCATAAGCGCATCGGATTCATCCTTCTAGCACTGACGAAGGCAATTGAAGCCTTTCAACTAGCATCTGAAATGAAGATAAACTGGAAGAAAACAATAGGGTGGTGACTCTCATAGACACCCCCCCCTCCAGACAATGAATCAACGCAGGGATTACAATGGAAGGACCGCCAAGTCCCTTTTAAATTCCTGGGAATCACAGTTACCTTGGCAGGGACCAGCAACTCAATAGCATCGAGCCTACTCGCAGCTGATATGAACAAATATATGGGTTGGCAAAAGATCTACACATCGCTGATGGGTAGGGCGATAGTCATCAACTCATCGATTTTATCCATGGTCTGGTAGACGGCTTCAATTTGGGACCCACCCACCAACTTCATGAAGGACCTAAAGAAAAAAGCAGCAGCTTACCTATGGACAGGGGATGCATCGAAGAACCAATTCATATCTGAAGTAGCCTGGAAATACGTAACCAACCCAATAGGGGAAGGAGGGCTCAGCCTCATAGATCCCGTAACAGAATACAAAGCCCTCCAGACAAAGTGGGTCTTAAGGCTTTTGTCTACCATGGCAAGAAATGGCCCTATACCAAATAAGGAACCTGCTACCTTTTAAAGCACATGACAGTATAGAGGGCCACTCATGGATCATGAACAGATACTGGACACCCAAAAGAGAGGGAAGCAGACCGAGGCAAAGGGGCCAGCTATCGAACGCTGATCCCCCAAGTGGTCATTGGGCAAAGCTGATAGAAACATGGAGGGAAGCTTTTCCGCAAAGAAAATGAAGCCCAAGGACAAAAGAGGAAATTTTGAGACAGCTGCTTTTTGGGAATGACTACTTGAAAGATCAAAACGGAAAGACATGGTCTCTCAAGGGGAAGGGGAAGAGATGGAGGACTTGGGTTGGAAGAGGCATATGGAAGATCGAGCACATATGGGATGAAAGAAATAGCAAGTGGAAATCAGAAGGAGACCTTAGAACAACTTTGAGAGGCCATCAATGGTTACAGAAAAATCTAGAGGAATTGATAGAGAGTATCCCAATAGCTTGGAGGTCAACGCTAAAAAGAAGTATAGTCTGGAAGAAAGGAGACTGGGCAACATTGAAAGCACAAGAAACACCCTCAGTAGCCCTTCATTTCATAAGACACGAGGGAGCCGATAGGTGCATAGCCAAATTTGAAGTACATGAGTTGGAGAACACAGAAAAAACAATAGTGGTGGTCAGAAAAGACACCCTAATCAGTCTAGACTTTGCCTTACAAGACTTGAGGAAGGTCAGAGAACTTAAAATCGAGCAAAAAGGACTAAGGAAAGGAAAAAAGGGAGTAGAACCCCCCACCTGGCTGTTTAGACCAAACAAAGACATATTGGAGTTAGAAGTCAACCCCAATGAGTGGGGCTGGTATCAGAATAGGGGGAGGTGTAGAACTAAGAGGTGGATACCGCTGCACGAATACACAGTGAAACGGGGGTATAGGATAAGAAACAAGCTAGAAAACCCACAGCCGCTCATAGCGGCAAGGTGGGAAAAAAAACTCCAAATAGACCCCACTTTCTTACAAACAATCCCATGGTCCTACTATGCATCGATCAGACCTCAGAAAGTAAGAAGCTTGCAATGGCTGATAATTTATATGGCAGTCCCTACCAATGATTGGTTGGAGACAAAGCGGAGAAGGGAAGATAGAACAGAATCCTCAGCACATTGCCAAATGTGTCAGGAACAAGTAGCAGAAACACTAACTCACTGCCTATTGGACTGCCAGCACGCCAAAGCTCTCTGGACCAAGTGCAAAAAGGCTTGGTCCAACCTATCTAACAAAGAATTCCAGACAGACCAATTCCTCCTCCTAGCAGCAATAGACAGGGACGACTTAATCCCTGAAGAGGACAAGGGGATCACAGAGTTACTGCGAAGAATAACCCTGTGGGTAATTTGGAGAGCCAGATGCGGGAACACAATAGGCAAAAAGAGGATAACGGCAACTGAATCATGGGAAGAGGCAAAAGAAATGGTAGAAACAGGAGTTAGAGTGGAATGGAAACAAGTACTTGGGAAAATGGACAAGGAAATAGAGGAACAGAAAAGGGCCAAAATACTGAAAGAATTTGAACAACAGTGGCTGAAGGAGGGACTAATGGCAAGGATAAACGGAAGAACCCTTCAATTCACGAATTGGTGGGATCAGGAAAGCCCAAGAACAAGTCTGAATAATACAAGTGCAATGGACTTAGACTGACAAGGAAGAAAAAACTCGGAGGAGGAACGAGCACAGCCATAGAATAGGGGAAAGTAAGAGGAAGTAAAAGCTTAGAGCCCGCGAAGGAACAAAAAGACGGTAAGGACACGACTTCAAAAGCTGAAGACTGTGACAAATGGAAAACCGAGGCAAAGAACTAGAATGGGTTAGTTCAGAAGGAAACAACAGCAACACCAGTCTGCCATGAGAAAGGAAAGACACATAGCTTAAAGAGGGAGAAGAGGAGAGTCTAGGGTTTAAAAAGCTTCAGTCCAGCACAAGACAAGATACAAGCTCTAGATAAGAGTAACTTAGAACAGATAGGGGTTAATGTTCAGCAAGTTGTTTACTATTAAAATACATAGGTCAGAATAGAGAGGGTGGGGCGGGCTAGGGTTTTAGGGTTTAGCACTATAGATCCCACAGCCAGAACGCGACAAAAAGTCCGTTCCATGAGACCCGGGTAATGAGCCAGAGACATATGGAAGAATTAGTCTTGGGTAGGTACTCCCCAGGAGGTATACAAAGGGATAGATCAGGTTAGACCTACCTTAAAGGGATCAGGCACACAGGGGACAACAAGCAAAACAAACAAACAAACAAACAAACAAACAAACAAAACCAAACAAAAAACAAAAAGCCCACCTTACGTGTATAACCACAAGAATCTACTAAGAAAGGACAAAACCCTCTAGGAACCTTACTGACTTAACAGGATAGAATAAAAAACTACAATCTGGGTGTTACAGACGACCCAGGTAGCCTAGGGTTTAGGGTTTAAGAAAAGGCAAAAGACAGAAACAGCAAGGCAGATAAGTTTTAGAGTACCAGAAGCCGAGAGAGAGGGAGGTTAGAAGATAAAGACCCACAAAGCTCAAGAAGTGAGCAAGTTCATACGAGTTCCTTGTTACGACCGGGTAGAGCTGTGTAACACTGTAAAGCCTTTTTTAAGCAAACCCTCAGATGCGAGCCCCTGTCATCAACTCTAGTGTTCAGATTCGCCCGACAGAACCCAGCAGAGAGGAGCTAGGAGCTAGGCGACTCAGAGGATCAGAAGGTAGTGGACATAGGGTAACTTAGGCAGGGGTGGGGGGTGGTACATCCTTCCCTAGGGAAGTAATCAATGCCGTCCACTCGGGCCTCTCAACCATAATGGGGAGGAGCGTGCGCGTGTCTTCATTGTATTCATATTTGGCTTGTCGGGGGAATAGGAACCGGACTGTTGCTCCCCAGAATGGCAGGAGCCAGAACCGAGAGGTTCTGTATCTTCCCAAAAAAAAA